GTTGTGAGATTGCAGGGAAAGAGGCTCCTCCTTGAGGGGTGGGACTCCGGTGCGGATCATGGGCCGCACCTGTGGCACTCTATTTAAGAGGCTCATGGATTTTGGCTCACTCTCTCTTATTTTTGTTTTGTGTTCTTTTTTGAAGAGTGGGTTCTTGAGATTGTGCGTTCCCATTTTTGTTGCCACAACTCCACAAACCCCATTTCCAGCAGCTATTTGATTTGTTGTTCCTTTCATTATTCTTTAATATTTTGACCCTAGACATTATTTCTTTAACTTTAAATACATATATTTTCTTTATTGAAACTCATTTTGTGAAGTGTCCTCTTTATGTTGTGACTTTGAGCCGGGTCATAACAATGAGCAATGAGTTATTCCAACTAAACTCACTTTTCACTTCCGTAGCCTTTAGGATCTACCACAGCAGACACGGCCACCACAACCAGAGCAACCAGATATCCAATCACACACAGGAATCCACTGCTAAGCACCTCCCTATTAATGGAGCTGATTTGTGATAGGTTCTTCACACAGATGAAGAGCAGCACAGCTTCAATGAGCATCCACACAAAGCCGGAGAGAAAGAAGAACTGCAGGAGGCCAGAGATCACGGCACACAACACCTGGAGACCATGAGAGACAGTTATGATGGTTCTCAGTGAGGCTGTGCTGAGCTGTAGGGCTCCTTCATCATTCTCACCTGCTGACGCCGTATGAGGCTCAGGAACTGCTGTGTGAGCAGAAACAGAAGGTGAGCCAACAGAAGACTGATGCAGATGTTGATTCGAGCCACATTATTCACTCCAGGACTCCACTGACAAAGGGCAAAGGTCAACAGGGCCAAACTGAAGAACACCAGCCCCACGATCACACACACCAAATTCAACAGCTCCAGCAGTGAGTCGCTCTGAGAAAACATGAGAGAACATGAGTGCCAAATCTGTGCTGTTCTTCAGTGTTCACTAGAAATATTCTGTACCTCTGACTGACGGCTGGTTTGCATGATGAGAGCGAATGTTGACAGATGATCACAGGAACACACAGTGTAGCTGCTGTTGGTCTTTAAAACAGAACAACCATCTACAATCCACTCTTTTTGGAGCTGATCTGTGATAGGTTCTTCACACAGATGAAGAGCAGCACAGCTTCAATGAACATCCACACAAAGCCGGAGAGAAAGAGGAAGTGCAGAAGGCCTGAGATCACGGCACACAACACCTGGAGACCATGAGAGACGGTTATGATGATTCTCAGTGAGGCTGTGCTGAGCTGTAGGGCTCCTTCATCATTCTCACCTGCTGAGGCCGTATGAAGCTCAGGAACTGCTGTGTGAGCAGGAACAGAAGGTGAGCCAGCAGAAGACTGATGCAGATGTTGATTCGAGCCACATTATTCACTCCAGGACTCCACTGACAAAGGACAAAGGTCAACAGGGCCAAACTGAAGAACACCAGCCCCACGATCACACACACCAAATTCAACAGCTCCAGCAGTGGGTCGTTCTGAGAAAACATGTAGGAGAACATGAGTGCCAAATCTGTGATTTTCTTCAGTATTAACTATAAATTTCTTGTACCTCTGGTGGATGGCTGGTTTGCATGATGAGAGCGAATGTGGACAGATGATCACAGGAACACACAGTGTAGTTGCTGTTGGTCTCTAAAACAGAACAACCATCTACAATCCACTCTCTGATATTCCAGTACACACAGGACACAGAACCACTGGGATCAAACTCCTGCAAAATGAAGAACGAACATAAAGAATATAATATAGCTGCAAGCAGCAATTATGGGGCCAAGAACCTCAGAAGCAAGCAATTTTTGTAGAATTTGTTCGCGCGTCATTCGAGAACGGTTTGACTAATCAACTTGAATTCCATAACTTTTTGCCAGCATGGTCTCAAGATGATCTGAGCTAATTTTGGTGAAAAAAAGACAAACCATCTAGGACGAGTTCTAAAAGATAGGTTTTTTCGAACAATTGAAAACAGCGAAAAAACTAAAACTTACGATTTTTACATTTTGGTGTCCATTTGACTCGGCATCAGCCAAGGATTCAGAGGATTATTCAAAAATAATTTTCCTTCTGTGCCTTACGGTTCAAAAGTTATTAGCATAAACATGAGTGAAACTTTGGACAAGTGGTGGCGCTAAAGAGTTTGAGTTAGAGACTCCAAACTTGCTATGGTTAATGTTGGGACTGTCCTCAATCAGTGTGCCAAATTTCACAACTTTCCCCCAAGCGGTTCTATGGGCTACCATCTACTCTAGAGCGGAATAAACGGAAGAAAAAGAATAATAAGAACGCCAACGGATACAATAGGTGCCACGCAATGGCGGAAGAAGAAGAAGAAGAAGAAGAACGCCAACGGATGTTTAAAAAGAAGAAATCTGCAGGCCCTGATGGTATCAGTGCCGGATGTTCATTATTTCTCAAGTTGGACAAAACACATTTCAGTGTCTCACTCTGATGTGTTTTAGGGTGAAGTTGACTGGTTTGGTGAGTTTAGTGTTGGTGGTTTTGGGAAGAGTAGCTGAGATCACAGTGGACATCATGGTTTTAATGGTGTCTTTTGGTGTGTTGAAGAAGTCTGGCTTCAATAGTTTCTCCATCATGTTGTAGCTCATGAAAGCCACAGCAGCTGATCCTGTGTAACAGAAACACATAAATAATAACAAATATTAAAACTTCCATTCAACTATACAAGAAAGAACCTTAAGTAAATGTCGTTTAGTTGTATTATATCTCTTTTTTTTGATAAAATCACATCACAACATTTAACATACTTGTTTCATTGTTGTTCTTGGCAATCCCAATGAGATCGATGTCCACAGAAGAATTTGTCGTGTTAAGTCTAGGGATTTTCTCTAGGGTGACCTGTGGTCCAACCATGAAGATTTCTACCTCTGATTAAAAAGTACAGATATGTGAATGAAAATGTATTAACAATAAGGTCATCTGAAAATGTCAAAAGTTATTTCAAATGTTTTCTAGACTTGAGCACATTAAGTCAGTAATTTCACTGTTTATTCATAGTTTGGTTTTTACTTACCCAAAGTGTCAAGAGTAAAAGTGACATAGTCACTTGTGTTTGTTGGTTTTACGAGCATGGACACGAGTTTCTCACTGGCTTTTAACATACGGTTTCCATATGACACCAGTTTATTTGGGTCAGCTGACGATGACTCCAAAAACATGTCTGAAGCATTGAGGACCACATTCAAAATGCTGGTCACATTCTATTTTAGTGATCATATAAACAGGATTATTTGTAAACGTTGGAACAAAAGAAAGCTTTGCTGCATGATAATTTATGTAAGTGACAAATAATTATTATGTTGTCATTTTGTCTTACTGTCAATGGAAGCACTTCTGCTGTCATGTTCTCTATATTGTCAAGAAGATCTACACACCGTCCTGTGGTCTGAAATCACAAACGAACTTTATAAATGAAATAGAAAAATGAGTGTGCACTGTGGAGTATTTGGTGATTTTGATAATGTTTTAAGTCAAATAAAAGTTAATTGTATCTACAAAGTATATGCAAAGAACCAACAACAATGACAAAAATACAAAACAGTACACATTATATTGTTTTATTGTGTTGTTGTTTCAATTTTTATTAATATGAGTCCAACCCTCCAATTACAATTTCAGAAATTAACGCCCGCAACAATTTACCCTGCATTCTTCTAGCGGCGTGATGTTCAGACCTGGAATGGGAAGAGTCTTCATGAATTCATGATGATACTCAACTATATATTTCAATAATTTTCTCTTATTAATTTCGGATAAGACAAGAGATATTACTTTTATGACCCAAAAAAATAAAAATAAAAATAAAAAAAAAGTACACAATCTCTTAGATTACAATTTGCATCTAAATAAAAACGACAGATTATTTCCATGTTTTGCACATACTCTTTCCATACACATACACATATTCCAAGCACATACTCTTTCCATACACATACCTTACAGACGCACACACATATACGGTAATACAGAAACACACAGACGCTAACGTTGTTAGCGCTACTATGACAATTTTATCAGTAAAATAGTTTAGCAACTTAAAAGCTACATGACATTCCTCCACAAGCAAGGTAAATTACATTGTTACATTGGTAATTCCAATGTAACAATCATATGTCCAACATAAAACCATGGAGTGGTGTTAGATGCTCCAAAATAATAAATATAAAATAATTTCTAGTTTTACAAATGCGAAGATTTAAACACTAAAGGGGTACCCTGCACCAAGATAATCCCTATTGAAATACATTACACTGAAAGTCGTGCTGAGTGACACGAAAAAAAAAAGGGAAATTCGTGTCCATGAAAACGAATCAATAGATTAAAATTGTGTGATTATGTCATGAAATGGCGTGAGACTGGGTTGAAAAAAATGCTTGATTGGCCCCGATCCCGATCTTTGAGATCGGCTCGGGACATCCCTAGTTTATAGCATTATCTTGCCTAAAATATATTGTTTGCCTGAGTGATGTGTTATCTGATTGACACTATCATTTGTGTTTGAAATGTATTCATCGTTTTGCACTCAATTTAGCCTATGCAAATTTGTATTTTTTTTAATTTTTTTTTTACAAATTATTCTTCATAATTTGTTTCGTAATTTTGACAAATCAACTTTTAAAAAACCCCACTATTTTAAAAAAGTGATCAATTTGACCCCAATAATTATCGTGGCATCTGCGTGAGCAGTACTTTAGGAAAGCTGTTCTGCAGAATAATAAACAGCCGTATTGTCACATTCATCTCAACATACAATATTTTAAATAAAGCTCAAATTGGTTTTCTACCAAAACATCGCACATCTGACCACATCTACTCTCTTCATACACTAATTAAGAAAAACATCAAGGACAAACAAAGGAAAATATTTGCACGTTTTCTCGATTTAAACAAAGCATTCGACTCAATTTGGCATGATGGTTTACTGTACAAACTCCTAAAAATTGGTATTGGTGGAAAAACCTTTAATATTATACAAATACAGATTAAGTAACCATGATTTAGAAATAGAGAGAGGAAGACAGACACACGTGGACAGAGCAAAAGCAGAGGATCTGTAGACACTGTGATCTACAGCAAATAGACGACGAGAAACGCTTTCTGCTGATTTGTCATAAATATCACAATGTAAGAGAAACATTTCTCCCCAGATTTGAAGCACTGATTCCATCATTTACTGAACTTAGTGATACTGAGAAAATGCCCTTCATACTTGGAGAAGATGACAACACAGCTGCAAAATGTGTGTTAGCCATTCACAATGTTAGGTGTTAAACAGGTTAACTCTAACTGACTCACTTTATCTTTTCATCTATTTAGATGGATTTTATTTATCTATGATGTTTGTTTCTTTTTATTATTTATATAGATGTTAATGCTTTGGCAACATTGTGTTACACAGTCATGCTAATAAAGCTTAACTGAACTGAAAAAAAAAAAATGACCGGAGAGGAACAGTGCTACACGTAACTACTTGGGACACACAGTTCTGCCTCCTTACATACTGTGGTCTATTTGAGAGGTAGTCAGTTAACCAACTGACCACACTCTGGTGTGTAATCCAGCATTTTCTAATTTATTCTTGAGTAATGCAGGCTGGATAGTGTTGAATGCACTAGAAAAAAAAATGTAATTCTAACAGTGTTACCTGAAGTCTCTAAATGACTTAGAGATTTGTTTAAGAGATAAATAATTGCATTATCTACCCCAACACCATTTTTGTAAGCGAACTGCAGTTTATCCTCAGCAGGACACAATAGCTGCTTAATATAATTTAAAACCAATCTCCCAAAAACCTTCATCAACTGAGCCGTTAAAGCTATTGGTCTATAATGTGAAAATTCAGTGGGTTAGTTTTCTTAGGGACTGGTACTACACATGATGTATTCCATAAAACGGGTACCCTTTCCAAACGCAAGCTCAAATTAAAAATAAAATGAATCACCCAGCAGATTTGATCAGCACAGGCTTTACGAACTCCAGCACGGATACCATCAGGGCCTGCAGATTTCTTCTTTTTAATTCTCCTTAACCCAATTCTTACTTGTTCCATCGATACAGCAAACTTAGGATCAGACTCAAACTGAGCAAACGGAAGGCTCCTGGATGAATGGAGTAGTACGCATATCATTGGAGACCTTTTGATTTCTGTCTATCACTGATTTAATAAGTTGTATGGGAAAAGACTAAATAAACTACACTTTATGTCAAGAGATCATTAGTCAACCTACACCCTCTGACTAAAATCAGACTGGCAAGTTTGTGATCATGAGATCCACGCAACGACTGACAAGACTCAAATGCGACATTTGATTATTCAAATATCTAAATTAATTGTTACATTAAAAATTCTTAATACTGAAGATCATGAGACTAATTCCCTATTCGCATGGGATTAGCATTATCTGAGGACCTCATGTGATTTAGAAATTCACACACATCTGAATTTTGTGTGGTGCATTCACACGGGATAAGCGAAGCCTGTGCTGTTACTTGAATTTACTGACTTATCTCCCAGATATGATGTCAAGGCTTTGTGTACTGTAACATTATATATCATAGACAGAAGAAAGTTCCTTAACGCATGCTGCTATACATGTCATCCAACTCCATCTAATCATTCTTTTTCTTTTCGCTCTTCTGATGGTTTTCAGCTTTCTCTTTCTGCAAATTGTATAGTTGTATGTGTACAGCGATATGACCCAGCACCCAAAACACCGGGTTATGGGCCGTTTGACAATGGTTGCAATGTGTTCATTGTTAAACTCCAAAATCAGATTATTTTTAAATCTTAAAAAACGCTATTATTTTATTAAAAAAAAGTTAATCATTTTATTTTATTGACAAAATATTTTAGTTTGTCTTGTATATTTTTTTCATTCGATCAGATAACATTTTAAGCTGTCATATGGTCATGTTACAACGTGCCCCTAAGATGTACCCCACTTGCGGGGCATGTTGTCACATTTCACTTCCATTTTTTTTATGGTAAATAAAGAAAAACGTATACACTGTAATTATGAAACAAAGCAACATATTTCTACTACACAAGTGTGAAATTACTGTGGATAAAAAATTATACTCTGAACCCCATATGGATTTACACAAAAAGAGAAAGTCAAAAAGTGTTAGGTTGTGCCCTGCTCTCCCTATGTGCTAGTGACTGTTAACATTAATGAGGCAGAAATCAGCACCAAAACTTGGATGAAAGGAAGTCCAGCGTCACACTAACCTGTAGAAGTATGACCTGTAAATGCTGTGGACGTGATTGGCGGTAAAGGAACTGAAACACAACATATGGAAACAGGTGTTAAATCAGACTCAGATTAGGAGTAGCTTCTTGTGAAGGCCACATTCCAGTTCAGCAACACATTCACCTGTAGTAGTGGGACTGGTAGATGTTGTGGAAGTGACCATGTGTAAAGAAGCTGAAACAATACCAGATGGAAACAAAATCAGACTCAGATGATGAACTATTCTGTTTTTCATTAAGAAAATCACCAAGAGGAATTTCTTTTAAGAAGCCACATTCAGTCTAGCACAGATCAGCACAAATCAGTGTTCTTAAGTTAGTCAATTTCCCGTGTACAGGGAGTAGAGAGCAGTGAACACTGTGTAAGGACCATGTCAATTGGAACACAGTTTATTCATGGAGCTCTCTTCTAACGAGCTGTTGATTAGAATCAGGTGATTTAAACAAGAGAGATATGCAAAATATGCACAGTGGGGGTCACGAGGACCAGGATATAAGAACCGCTGTTCTAGAATTATCCTCACCTGTAGAAGTAGAACTAGAAGATGTTGTGGAGGTGACTGGCTTTAAAGAAACTAAAAAAAAAAATAATAATAATAATAATAACAGATGGAAAAAGATGTTAAATCAGACTCAGATTATGAACTACGGTGTTCTGCAACAAGTAAATCACTAAGGGATTTATTTTAAATAGTCACATTCAGTCTAGAATTATTCTCACCTGTAGAAGTAGAACTAGTAGATGTTACGGAAGTGACTGGTTGTAAAAGAACTGAAACACAACATGTGGAAGCAGAAATTCAGCATATAAATATGCTTTAACATCTGTGTTCAACATGAAGACAATTATTAGGAGGAGCTTCTCTTGAAAGCCACATTCCAGTTCAGCAACACATTCACCTGTAGTAGTGGGACTGGAAGATGTTGTGGAAGTGACCATGTGTAAAGGAACTGAAACAATACCAGATGGAAACAGATTCTAAATCACACTCAGATGATGAACTACTGTGTTCTTTATGAAGAAAATCATCAAGATGAATTTCTTTTAAAAAAACATATTCCATCTATAATTATCCTCACCTGTAGAAGTAGAACTAGTAAATGTTGTGGAAGTGACTGGCTGTAAAGACACTGAAAAAAAAAGAAGGAAATAGATGTTAAATCAGAATCAGATGATGGAGTACTGTGTTATGCAACAAAGAAAGTAATTGAGGGATTTCTTTTAAATGGTCACATTCAGTCTAAAATCATTTTCACCTGTTGAAGTAGAACTAGTGTATGTTGTGGACGTGAACGGTTGTAAATTAACTGAAACAACAACGTGGAAACAGATGTTAAATCAGACACAGATGCTGAATTACTGTATTTTTCATGAAGACAATTATTAGGAGAATCTTCTTTTGAAGGCAAATGACTTGCTTCTTGCGTCAGACCAAGGCTGCATCTCATTGCTAGTTTTACTTGATCTTAGTGCTGCGTTTGACACTATAGATCATGACATACTCATAGATCGATTACAAAATTATACAGGTATTCAAGGGCGCAGAACTACCACATTTTGCTATAAGTTTGATCATCATATAATAATTGCTGTTAATAGTGTTCATCGTCTGTTTGATTACATCTTTAATTTATTTTTCCGTACATTTCTGCCATATGTACATAAACTGACAGTCACCACTGATAAGCTACAACTAAATATTGTAGAAACTTAATTTTCTGTAAAGTTGCTTTGCAACGATTTGTATCGTAAAAAGCGATATACAAATAAACTTGAACTGAATTGAATTTAAGGCCACATTCCAGTTCAGCAACACATTCACCTGTAGTAGTAGGACTGGTAGATGTTGTGGAAGTGACCATGTGTAAAGGAGCTGAAACAATACCAGATGGAAACAAAATCGGACTCAGATGATGAATTACTGTGTTCTTCATAAAAAAATCATCAAGAGGAATTTTTTTTAAGAAGCCACATTCAGTCTAGAACAGCGGTTAATAATCCTGGTCCTCACAACCCCCGCTCTGCACATTTTGCATTTTGTATGTTTCAATTCCAAGGTTTATTCCATTCGACCGTAAGTGCCCTGCGAAGTGGACATCAGAGGATATTCCACCATGTTTCCAGTTCAAAAGGAGCGTATATATTCCATTCAAAGCGTGCAAGACTTGACTACTATGCAAACGTCATTATTACGTTAAATAACCCTTTTCACTTCTTGATTATCATTCTGAATCCAATTCATAGTCTTTTTTCAGCTTTTTGTTCAAAATGTTGTTTATTTCTTTATTTTTTATTTATGAAACTTATCCACATTCAAGTGTTTAAAAAAAGAATGTACGAAGCTAGAATAAAATGTTTTTGTTTACAAGCAGATACCCTGTTCTTTTGATGTTTTGTATGTTCAGGTATTCATGTAACAAAATATATACAAATTAATACTTAAATAGGGACATAGTAGTATACTTAAAGTATGAATATGATGCGATTTCAATTTTGCAGTACAAGCTAAAAACTTTGATGTAAACTAGTTGTGTACTGTTATACTTAAAGTATACTTTTATATACTAAAAAGAAATAGTCTTAAATAGTCACATTCAGTCTAGAATTATTCTCACCTGTAGAAGTAGAACTAGTAGATGTTGTGGAAGGGACTGGTTGTAAAAGAACTGAAACAACAACATGTGGAAACAGTTATTCAGCATCTAAATCTGATTTAACATCGGTGTCCAACATGAAGACCATTATTGGGAGGAGCTTCTCTTGAAAGCCACATTCCAGTTCAGCAACACATTCACCTGTAGTAGTGGGACTAGATTTTGTGGAAGTGATCATGTGTAAAGAAGCTGGAACAATACCAGATGGAAACAGATGTTAAATCAGACTCACATGATGAACTACTGTCCTCTTCATGAAGAAAATCATCAAGAGGAATTTTTTTTTAAGAAGCCACATTCAGTCTAGAATTATCCTCACCTGTAGAAGTTGAACTAGATGCTGTGGAAGTTACAGGCTGTGAAGAAACTAAAAAAAAAAAAAAAACAGATGGAAAAAGATGTTAAATCAGGCTCAGATGATGAAGTACTGTGTTCTGCAACAAAAAAAATCATTGAGGGCTTTCTTTTAAAAGGTCACATTCAGTCTGCAATTATTCTCACCTGTAGAAGTAGAACTAGTAGATGTTGTGGAAGGGACTGGTTGTAAAATAACTGAAACAACAACATGTGGAAACAGACATTAGATCAGATTTAGATGCTGAATTACTGTGTTAATCATGAAGACAATTATTAGAAGGAGTGTCTCTTGAAAGCCACATTCCAGTTTGACAACACATTCACCTGTAGTAGTAGGACTGGTAGATGTTGTGGAAGTGACCATGTGTAAAGGAGCTGAAACAATACCAGATGGAAAAAAATCAGACTCAGGTGATGAACTACTGTGTTCTTTATGAAAAAAATCATCAAGAGGAATTTCTTTTAAGAAGCCACATTCAGTCTAGAACAGCGGTTAATAATCCTGGTCCTCACAACCCCACTCTGCACATTTTGCATTTTGTATGTTTCGCTTCCAAGGTTTGTTCCATTCGACCATAAGTGCCCTGCGAAGTGGACATCAGAGGATATTCCACCATGTTTCCAGTTCAAAAGGAGCGTATATATTCCATTAAAAGCATGCAAGACTTGACTACTATGCAAACGTCATTATTACGTTAAATAACTCTTCTCACTTCTGTGGTAAATTTTGTCTGCGTGTGAAGATGCTGCAGGCAGTGGTGTAGCGCAAAATGGTGTTTTAAATTAAGCAAACTACAGCCAATTTTCCTGTGTGCAGGGAGTAGAGAGCAGCGAACACTGAGAAGGGACCATGTCAATCTGAACATAGTTTATTCATGGAGTTCTCTTCTAATGAGGTGGTTATTTGAGTCAGGTGAGTTAGAAAAGAACGACATGCAAAATATGCAGAGCGGTTGGGGGTGAGGGTTAACTCAATGATTAACTCTTTCCCCGCCAAACATGGAATGTTCCATTATTCATGAGACAACGCTTCCCTGCCAAACACGGAATTTTCTGTGTTTTCACTGTTATACGCTAGGGGGCGCTATTACACATCTCCTGAATGAGTCTGGAAAGTGCTGATCAAAAACACAGACCTGGGGCCCATCTTCGTACTTTGCTAACTCAGTTAGCTGGATTTGATTGTTGACGATTTGGCGTGATCTTGGATTGTTTGGTTCTTCGAAGCTCATCCCTTGTTGTCATAGCAACAGGCCCGTAATCTTAAACCTGCTCGGGAGCAGGTTTATTTCATGTAAACAGGATTAGATTGCATCTTTCTCAGCAGAATTGATACTTAAAATCTGTCCCAGCCACTGCTACTTTATTACAAGAGTATCCTACTGATCCAGGGACAGTAATTTAAAATAATAATTGTTTAAAAATTAATTTAAAAATAATATAATAATGTTGTGTAATCTATAATACTAGAGACACAGCCAGCTTTATTCACTGAAAGATGTATTCGTCATAAAATAATTACTTCATAATTGTATTCGAGTCTTACACACGCAATACAGATTTATGCAGTTTTGTTCGACTGGCTGTTTCCATATAAAAGTCCAGAAATTTGTCAGCTTTTTCGTCAGGCGTCTTTTTTAATTATATGATGTCATTACATTGCTGTCTTGCCGCCAGCCAATAGCTGCATTGCTGATCGTGGTTTCGAGTATCGATAAATCTACACTTTTCAGGGAACACAAGAACACGCAGTAATCTTAGACAACTCGTACGAAGAACGGGCCCCAAGAAGACGCAGAAACCAGCGATCTCATATGTAATCATATGTATATGAAAAATAATGCGATCATCAACACTAACCGCATATAAATGAAAACTGCCTAATGTTACAGAGTGAAATGTCAATCCAGAAACTGTTAAAGGCCTGTGCAAGCTTTGGGAGTACTGATGGAAGCCATCTACTGCATCTTTGCTTTGATAATATTACTGAATACGATCCAGATGTAGTATTTGATAAAAATGCGATTTTCTCAGCATTTTGCTCAAAATGTTGCATTTTTGTTGCAAGCTAGAATAAAATTGATTTTTTTTTGTTTGAAAGCAGAGGGTATGATCTTTATTTTGATGTATTGTGTTTTGAAATATTCATAAAACAAAATATTCTGGGGGCCATGAAATTTTAGTGAAAATCAGCAAAAACGCTGGCGGTGGCTAACAACCTTTTTCAAAAAAGCTGGCGGGGAAACGGAAACGGACGTTAGATCAGATTTAGATGCTGAATTAGTGTGTTAATCATGAAGACATTTATTAGGAGGAGCTTCTCTTGAAAGCCACATTCCAGTTCAGCAACACATTCACCTGTGGTAGTAGGACTGGTAGATGTTGTGGAAGTGACCATGTGTAAAGGAGCTGAAACAATACCAGATGGAAACAGATTTTAAATCAGACACAGATTATGAACTACTGTCTTCTTCCTGAAGAAATTCATTAAGGGGAATTTCATTTAAGAAGCCACATTCAGTCTAGAATTATCCTGACCTGTAGAAGTACAACCAGTAGATGTTGTAGAATTGACTGGCTGTAAAGAGACTGAAACAATAACAGATGATGAATCACTGTGCTCTGCAAGAAGACAAACATTGAAGGATTTATTTGAAATAGTCACATTCAGTCTAGAATTATTCTCACCTGTAGATGTAGAACTAGATGTTGTGGAAGTGACCGGTTGTAAAAGAACTGAAACAACAACATGTGAAAACAGATGTTAAACCAGATTTAGATGCTGAATTACTGTGTTCGCCATGAAGATAATTAATTAGTAGGAGCTTCTCTTGAAAGCCACATTCCAGTTCAGCAACACATTCACCTGTAGTAGTAGGACTGGAAGATGTTGTGGAAGTGACCATGTGTAAAGAAGCTGAAACAATATCAGATGGAAACAAATTTTAAATCACGCTCAGATGATGAACTATGTCTTCATGAAAAAAAAAAAAATCATCAAAAGGAATTTATTTTAAGAAGCCACATTCAGTCTAGAATTATCCTCACCTGTAGAAGTTGAACTAGTAGATGCTGTGGAAGTGACAGGCTGTGAAAAAACTAAAAAAAAGATGTTATTTCAGACTCAGATGATGAAGTACTGTGTTCTGCGACAAAAAAAAAAAGTCATTGAGGGACTTTTTTTAAATGGTCACATTCAGTCTAAAATTATTCTCACCTGTAGAAGTAGACCTACACACTGTAAAAAAAATCTTAATTTTAAGGAAAATAACTGTGATTTTTTTTTCAGTTTTCTAGTTTGTAGTCAAAACTCTGTAAAATTACCAACAATATCTGTAAATTAACAAATTGGCTGTTATTTTAAGTATCATGACATTAACAATACATTAGAGTAATTCACATTTTTTATACAGAAATATTACTGTATTTTTTATACAGTGTTTCTTATTTTTTCTTAAATTACATACAAATGTATGTAAAATTACAAAAATAATCAGTAATTAAAGAAAAATAAAAACTTCAACATTATAGAAACTCTTTTAAATGCCAAACATAACAGCATTAAACACTAACAGGTCTTTCCCTTTCAGAAATAAAAACAAATAAATCAACACTTAATTTCAACATTTAATCTCCTTATCCAGACCTATGCAAAGCATGCTGGGAACTAGAACTGCCTGCCTAAAAAAAACACTAAAAAAGGTCAAATGACTGGCAGCAGCGGCTGCCAAACAAAAATCATAAAATTAAAGTGAAAAATCCTAATTTAAATAAACCAAAAAAAAAAACTGTTATTTTACAGGAATTTACTAAATTATTATGACCAAACACCTTCACCTTTTAAAAAATCGTAAAAAAAAAAAAAAAAAAACGGCAGCAGCGGCTGCCAAACAAAAATCATAAAATTTAAGTGAAATATCGTAATTTAAATAAACAAACAAACAAAAAAAAAAAACATTATTTTACAGGAATTTCCTGAATTATTATGACCAAACACCTTCACCTTTAAAAAAAATTACAAAAATAAATAAAATGGTCAAATAAATGGCAGCAGCGGCTGCCAAAGAAATAAAATAATAAAAACGTAAAATTAAAGTACATCCTAATTTGTATAAACCAGAAAATTACAGGTATTTTCTAAATTATTGTAATCAAACACTTTCACTTTAACCCTTTAGCATTCCTGTAAAATGTGCCTAAAAAAGGCATACCCAATTAGTAAATTGCATGCTGATTTTGAGTATATGCATGGTTTTGGTCTCTTTTGAAAGGTATGTGTGGTTACCATTGTGTTTTTGAGGTTACCTTTTTTTTCTTTTGAACGCTAACAGGTTAAAACAGTAAAAAACATGAGAAAAAAGGTCAAATTTATGTGAATAAAGTGCAAAAAAAAAAAAAAAAGACTGGCAGCAACAGAACATTAAACACTAACAGATCTCTCTAGATCTCAGCATCTTCACTTATTACAAACCAGTTTGCTTCATTTCTTTCATACAAAAGTTCTTATTGAGAATTAACAGAGGTTTAGATGGTGCTGTTCTTATTGAAAAGCGTAAAGTTTGAAGTCACCGTTATGGTGGTCAGTGTTCCTTTAGTTGGGCTCTTGACCCTTGTTTTTATCAGTTCCTCAGTTTTTCCTTGTTTGCTTTAGCAGTGTGTTTCTGATACATCTTTGTTATGGCAAAACAAATGTAAGACCAACTCTGATCAGATGATGTTGGTCACTTATTGATGATAATATAGTCATCATAGTGACCTGATTCACTGCTAGAAGTCTAATCTCTGAGTGTTTTGAAACTATCACCAAAGAGTGACTAGCACGATTATCAGATCAGAGCTTCTCTTCAAGTCCCTGCCGTAATGAATGTATATCAGAAAGACACAGTTAGAGAAACCAAAGAGAAACTTACTAAAAAAATTCAACGGTCAAGAGCCAAACAAAAGCAAACACTGACCACCATGATGGTGACATCAAACTTTATTATTTTTAGTGAAACATCAACATCTAAACCTATTAATTCTCTTTTATATGATAGAAATAAGGGCAAACTGGTTTGTAATAAGTGAAGATGCTGAGTTCTAGAGTGATTTGTTAGTGTTAATGTTCTGTTGGGGTTTTGTGAGGTTTTCGTTGTGCTGAGGAATAGAACCTGTGCTTCAGTCTAGCAGAAGAACAGGAAACATTGATGTTATACTGCATGGTGTTTTATTCAAAGGCAGTAATTGTGTAGTTGCTGAAGCAGTAACATATAGTTACATTGTTTCATGCATGTTGTTTCTGGTTAACTGCTAGAGATTCATGTTTTGCAATGAACATGTTTGTTATTAATAATGCCTGGAAAACAACAGTTTTTTGGTTAAAGTTTTTTTTTTCTTCTTAATTTAAATTAGGATATTTTATGGTTTGGTAGCCATTGTTGGCAGTCATTTCACTGTTTTTTTTTTTTTGTTGTTTTTTCAGTTAAGGTGTTTGATCCTAATAATTCAGGAAATATCTTTAAAATAACATTGTTTTTCAGTAAAAAAAAAAAAAAAAAAAGGACAATTTCTGTTAAAAGTTTTTTGCACTTTATTTAAATTAGATTATTTTACAGTCATTTTAGGGTTAAAAGAACTGAAACACAACATATGGAAACAGACTGAGATTAGGAGGAGCTTCTCTTGAAAGCCACATTCCAGTTCAGCAACACATTCACCTGTAGTAGTGGGACTAGTAGATGTTGTGGAAGTGACCATGTGTAAAGAAGCTGAAACAACACCAGATGGAAACAGATGTTAAATCAGACTCACATGATGACTACTGTCTTCTTCATAAAAAAAAAATCATCGAGGAATTTCGTTTAAGAAGCCACATTCAGTCTAGAATTATCCTCACCTGTAGAAGTTGAACTAGTAGATGCTGTGGAAGTGACTGGCTGTGAAAAAACTAATAATAATAATAATAATAAATAAATAAATAAATAAATAAATAAAATAACAGATGGAAAAAAGGCAGAAAAGACGCAGCTGACACAGAACAGCATACGCTGTTTACGTCCAGCGAATATTCTCCAAAATGGCACCAGGGTGATGCGGAGGAGACGAATTGTTGAATAAAGTCGTTTTTTTTTTCTTTTGCGCACAAAATGTATTGTCGTAGCTTCGTATAATTGCGGCTGAACTACTGATGTCACATGGATTATTTTACAGATCTCCTTGCTATGTTTCTGGTCTTGGGAACATTTCAGTTGTGTTGCTGTCTATGCAGGGTCAGACAGCTCTCAGATTCCATCAAAAATATCTTAATTTGTGTTCCAAAGATGAACGAAGGTCTTACGGGTTTGAAACGATATGAGGCTGAGTAATTAATGACAGAATTTTCATTTTTGGGTGATTAAACCCCTTTAAATCAGACTCAGATGATGAACTACTGAGTTCCTTGTGAAGAAAATCATCAAGAGGTATTTCTTTTAAGAAAACTACATTCAGTCTAGAATTATCCTCACCTATTGAAGTACAACCAGTAGATGTTGCAGAAGTGACTGGCTGTAAAGAAACTAAAAAAGAACAGATGATGAACTACTGTGTTCTGCAACAAGGAACTCATTGATTAATTTCTTTTAAATGGTCACATTCAGTCTAGATTAATTTTAACCTGTAGGTGTAGAATTAGTAGATGTGCAACATGTGGAAACAGATGTTAAATCAGAATTTCTGTGTTCATCGTGAAGACAATTATTAGGAGCTTCTCTTGAAAGCTACAGTTCAGCAACACATTCACCTGTAGTAGTAGGACTGGCAGATGTTGTGGAAGTGACCATGTGTAAAGGAGCTGAAACAAGGCCAGATGGAAACAGCTGTTAAATCAAACAGATGCTGAATTATTGTGTTCTTAATAAAGACAATTATTAGGAGAAGCTGCTTTCGAAGGCCACATTCAGTCCAAAAACATGCTTACCTGTAGTAGTGGGACTGCTAGATGTTGTGGAAGTGACTGCCAGTAAATAATCGGAGAAAAAAAAAATACCAGATGTTAAAGGAACTGAAACAATACCAGATGGAAATGGAAACAGTTGTTAAATTAGACTCAGATACTGAATTACAAACTTTAGTTGTCATGGTTACTGAGTTGATTGTGTCATTCTGTTCAGGTGTTCGTCATTAATTAACCTTGTTTGGTCTGTGTATTTAAAGGAGTCCTATTATGCTATTATTGATTTTGTTTTGGGGGTGTACTAGAACAGGCTCTCATACTAGGTTGTTCGAAAAACACATTATTTTTCACATATTTTACATTATTATGTAATACCTCTCTCCCCAGTCTGGCATGAACGGCTCGAATAGTTCCTGTATCTAAGTTCGTCTGCCTTGGGAAGGCTTGCGTGTCTCCGACATAGTGATAACACTCGTTGCCTTCTCTAGTGCAGCTCAACCAGGTCTCATCCCATTTGTCGATATTTGTGATATCACAAATCCCAGAAAATATGCGTTGTAGTCCAATGGAGTCGTTTGTTGTAGTTTTTGAAAAGTGATTTCTGTTAAATAAAATATCTCCTTTTGAAGTGGAATTTGAACTTTGTAACTTTGCAGATCTTTTTTATGCTCGAACAGCAACATTACAGACTAACTAAAGTTGAAAAAGTGAAAAAGCATAATAGGACCCCTTTAAGTTCCCCTTGTTTCAGTTCAGTTTGTCCGGTCTCATCAATGTTATGATTGTGTTTGCCCTGTACCTGGTCCTGGACTTATCTCTGGCAATTATTAAAAGACTGTTTGCTTGTACTGTCGTTGTTGTGTGATTACCACAACCAATTTATGACACTGTGTTCCTCTTGAAGACACTGATTATGGACAGTCATGTTTAAATATTACAGTCCAGTCCAGCATCACCCTTACCTGATGAAGCGGAACTAGTAAATGTTGTGGAATTCTCCAAATGTAAAGATACTGAAACAACAACATGTAGAAAAATGTTAAATCAGACTCAGATGCTTTGTTCTTTATGAAGACAACTATTATGGATGGTCATGTTTCAAAATTACAGTCATATAATCTTGAGCAGACCACCAGAGCACTGGCACTGATTCAAAGTATTGAATCTGTAAATTGATCAAATGTGTCATGTTCTGTCTGTTCTCTGTGCTTTCGTTGTATTCAGTTGGTTGAGATGTTAAATGAATTGCGATATAATTGGGGGTGGGAGTTTATATGAATGTATCTCTGAGGGGAACAGACTGTCTTCAGAAATGTTTCGATGGAAAAATTTTTTTTATCTTGCCTCCGTATAATGCATATTAAAGTATGCTTTGTTCACATGCTTTGTTTACGTAACCAAGTAAATGCTGTGTCACTGCATTTTGCGTTCTCGTTTAGCCCGTCTGCTGTTTTTGTTTCGTTCATAAGTTTTATGTAGCATAATTTCACAAAGGAAGTCAGGCCATGCTGTTTTTGCTTCAAATTTTGAAATTATACATTACCTAATTTAATAAAAAAAATTTAAAAAACTGTATGGGGTTCAAACCTGAAGTACTGGAACTGGCCTTTTAAATTTTTCAGAATTATATGTTGCCCAATTGGCAGTAGATTTGCTAGAGAATTACTACATTTATAATTTTCAGTACAATTTCCATGTGTAAGGCATGTTCAGGCAAAGTTGTTGTTATTTCACATACTTTGCTGGTAAATATATTTACACAAGCCCTTTGAACACATTATTATTATTATTATTATTATTCATTAATATTCATCAGTAATTTTTTTCCCAGTTATTTCAGCAGCACCCATACAACAGTCATGCCAAGGATGAGCTCAGCTGGTGATGTAGTCTGATAGGGATGTAACAATTCACTCAAATGACGTTGTGATACGATTCACAATACTGATTTCATAATACAATTTTGTTATGATTTATTTTAAAAACAAAGTAAGGTTTAAGACAAATTATAAATGAACAGGTGTTCTTTTTTTATTCCTAAGACAAAATGCTGCACAGGAACACAGTGCCCTATCGATACTTCACTCGTACTGCGTCTGCTAAGATGCTTTGGGAAAACTCCTTTTTCTCCGAATACTGAAGCCTTTTTCAATCACGCAGTGTAACTGCACGACCATTGGTTCGTGCAGTGTATTAAAAACGAACAAATGGCTCGGCAGCGGAGCTGCACTAGCCTATGGCGACACAGCCTGCCAGAGCCCGCCAATTTGGCCAATAAGCATGCACTTCGTCATAGGATCCTCAGATTTCTTCTCCTTCAGCGACGACTACAAGATCTTCGCACTACGAGACTGGAAGCCTTCGCCGTGAACAAGCCTCGCAGCGGATCAAGACCCTCTCTGCTCGGCTGACTTCGCTGCTCTTCAGCTGCCTTCGGCGTCTGCAGCAGCGTGGTCTTCCGGTCCCCTGCCGCTATCCGGTGACTATAAAGAGCAAATTTCTGAGCAATTTTCCGGCGTTGTTGCAAATGCCGCGCCGCTACTGTCGCTCGTGCAGGGCTCCCCTGCACGCCACTGATGGTCACGGCGAGTGCGTTTCATGCTTGGGCGCTGCCCACGCTGAAGCTGCACTTAAGGAGACGGAATATCCTCATTGCGAGGATTTGAGTCTCTCCTCTCTGCGCTCACGGATAGCTTTCTTTTCAGAAAGCGACTCCGCTCCTCGCGCGCTCCCACTTTCTTTCTCCCAGGAGCCTGTGAGGAAAAAGCAGCGGGGCAGAGGATCTCAGCGCTCAGTGACGAGTGAGCCCACGCCGGCTGAGCCCCCGCCTGCCTCACTCTCTCCCCATAGAGAGGCTTCCCCCGTCCTCTTCTCTCACCCGGACCAGCATCCCTCTGCGGCTGCGAGCGATCTGGTTTCGTTCGGTGGGAGCGAGTGTGACGCCATGGATGACAGTGTGTCTCTGGCTGCCTCAAATGCGGAGGAACTGTTGGGCTCGTCTTTCGACCCCGCCACTTAGAGTGCCTGGGACTCAGGGTCAACTTTGCCAAGAGCGCGACCAGCCAACGGATATCGTTCCTGGGAACAGTTTTTGACTCAGCCCGAATGAGGGCGGTAGTCGCGCCAGATCGTGCACTGGATATTCGGCAGCTCGCGGCCTCATTCGAAATTGGAGCCCTTCGCCCTCTCAAGGCATTTCAGAAGATGTTGGGCCTCATGGCCTCTTGTGACGCCATGGACGACAGTGTGTCTCTGGCTGCCTCAGATGCGGAGGAGCTGTCGGGCTCATCTTTCGACCCCGCCCCCCTGCCGTCTGCAGAGCCCAGCGCTGCCAGCATAGGCATGAATGCCAAACTTTTCCGTGTTCTGTCTAAGGCTGTCCAAGAGCTGGGTTTGGATTGGTCTCCGCCGGAGGAGCCCACCCGCAGCCGCCTGGATGAATGGTTGCTGGCCTGTTTGGTCCTGCGGTCGAAGGGTTCGCAGAGCGCTTCACTGCTGCACAAAAGTCGTCCCAGGCAATGCGACACTTCTTGCCAAAATGCTCCAGCTCTGCGGCTGCCGCCAGTTGCCCCAAGACGGCGCCGACTCAGCAGTCCGCAAAGCCCGCCTCAACAGCTGCACCGCCACTCTCTAAGCCTGAGCCCCGGCATCGCTCCCGCTCGGCTACACGCTACCCATTCCCTAAGCGCCAAGGACCCCGGCCCAAGGTAGTGCTGGACCCGGCGCCTCTTCTTGCCGGGTCGCTGTCAAGCCCCTCGACAACGAGCTTCTCCATTTTTTCCAGAAGTCCATGACGAGATCACCAGATCTTGGCGCGCCCCCTACTCGGCCCACCTGCGTATCTCCTCTTCGTCTGCCCTCACAACAGTCGACGGCGCCGAAGAAAAGGGGTATGACAAACTGCCTCCCCTGGAACTGTTGTGAACCCCAGGCCCGTTCAGTTAGCGCCCGCACATCTTATTGCTGTTATAGCGAGAAAAATAAAACAAACATTTTCAAAAAGAGAGCAAATTTCTTCTTCCGCTTATCACGAGTGTTGGGTCCCCGCATGGCGGCCTGTCTCTCGAAACAACCCAACCCCTTGCCACGCAGGCCGAGGCCTGGCAGGCCATCGCCAGGGTGTCAAAGTGGGTTCTGGGGTTAATAGAACGAGGTTATTCACTTCAATTCGCACGAAGACCCCCGCGATTCTGTGGCGTGGTCTCCACCTCGGTTCAGAGCGAGGATGCACACGTCCTACGCGCCAAGGTGATGAATTTGCTGGCAAAAGGAGCCATAGAAATGGTTCTCCCAGCTCAGAGCGAGTCAGGCTTCTACAGCCGTTATTTCCTCATCCCCAAAAAGGATGGCAGCCTAAGGCCCATCCTCGATCTCAGACACCTGAACCGTGCCCTCATGAGACGGCCATTCAGGATGATTACATTGAAGCAGATCCTCTCGCAAGTGTGCCCAGGGGACTGGTTCTTTTCGCTGGATCTGAAAGATGCCTACTTTCAGATCCAGATAGCCCCCATCACAGGCAATTCTTGAGATTCGCCTTCGAGGGAGGGGCATATCAGTACACGGTCCTTCCCTTCGGACTGTCACTAGCTCCCCGCACTTTTACGAAGTATAAGCGGGCTCTTTCCCTGCTGAGACAGATGGGAATCCGCATCCAGAATTATCTCGACGACTGGCTCACCCTGGCCCAGTCAGAGAACGAGCTATTATCCCACAGAGCCTTACTCCTCAGCCACTTAGAGTGCCTAGGACTCAGGGTCAAACTTTGCCAAGAGTGCGCTGTCCCCCAGTCAACGGATATTGTTCCTGGGAAAAGTTCTCGACTGAGCCCGAATGAGGGCGGTAGTCGCGCTAGATCGTGCACTGGCTATTCGGCAGCTCGCGGCCTCACTCGAAATTGGAGCCCTTCGCCCTCTCAAGGCATTTCAGAAGATGTTGGGCCTCATGGCCTCTGCGTCTCCAGTACTTCAGCTGGGCCTGCTTCGCATGCGGCCCCTTCAGTACTGGCTGAAACCACAAGTTCCGTCCCACGCCTGGTGCCATGGACGCATGCGTGTCAAGGTGACCCGGGCCTGCGTAGCAGCTCTGGCCCCTTGGAAAGACTCTCAGTGGATGGATCGGGGCGTGCCCCTGGGTATGGTCTGCAGAAGGAAGGTAGTCTTGACAGATGCTTCCAACATGGGTTGGGGAGCTCTGTGCGATGGCAAACCAGCTTTCGGCCATTGGTCGAAAGAGGAGAGTCGGCTTCACATCAACTGCCTGGAAATGTTGGCAGAATGTTTGGGCCTTCGCACCTTTCTGCCAGACCTAAGGGGATTCATATATGAACCGCCAGGGCGGTCTCTCCTCGAAGCGCCTCTTTATTCTGGTAGAGCGCCTCCTGGAATGGGCGCTCCCTGGAACTTGCGTTCGCTAAGAGCAGCGCATGTGTCGGGCAGGTTGAACCAGGGAGCGGACATGCTATCCCGGAGCAACATCCCCTCAGAAGAGTGGATGCTCCACCTACATACAGTTCAAAGAATATGGAAGATCTTCGGCAAGGCAGAGGTCGACCTCTTTGCCTCAGAAGATAACTCTTACTACCCAATTTACTTTTCGGAAGGACAAGGATGCGTTGGCCCACGACTGGCCCAACCTCCTCCTTTACGCTTTTCCCCCGATCGCAATGATCCCATAAGTAATCAGGCGAATCAAGTAGCGGAAACACAAGGTTCTGTTGGTGGCCCCAGTCTGGAGCACCCAACACTGGTTCGCAGAGCTGTCTCAGCTGCTTCTAGCAGCCCCGTGGCCCATCCCCCTGAGACGAGACCTTCTCTCGGAGACAAACAGAATGATATGGCACCCCCAGCCCAAGCTGTGGGCTCTGCACCTCTGGCCTCTCGATGGGAGCCTGCGGACCTCCCCGAGAGTGTGCTAAACACAATATCTCAGGCTAGAGCACCTTCTACAAGGCGGCTCTATGCCCTTAAATGGTCTGTCTTCTGCGCCTGGTGTATGGCCCGCGGCGCAGACCCAATTTCCTGCGACATATCTCTGATATTGCAGGAGCTGTTGCATAAGGGTCGTTCCCCTTCCACGCTCAAGGTCTATGTAGCAGCTCCTATAGCTGGCCAGTCGGTGGGCAGGAACAACCTAGTTGTTCACTTTTTGAAAGGGTCTAGGAGGCTCAACCCACCTCGCCCTGTCACTGTCCCTACATGGGACCTGCCCACGGTGTTGAGGGCTCTGAAAAGCCTTCCTTCCGAGCCGCTACCTTCGTCCCTTGACGCTAAAAACTGCTCTGCTACTGGTGTTAGCATCGGTAAAGTGTATGGGTGATCTGCAGGCGCTCTCGGTGAGCCCGACCTGCCTTGAATTTGGGTCCAACGACTCCAAGGTCGTCCTGAAGCCGAGGCATGGTTATGTACCTAAAGTGCTTTCGACTCTGTTCAGAGCACAGGTGATAGCTCTTTCGGCGCTTCCTCCTTCGGAGCAGGACCAAGAGCTAAATCTCCTCTGCCCCGTCAGGGCATTGAGAATATACATTGAGCATTCCGCCCCGTTCAGGCAGTCGGATCAGCATTTTGTATGCTTCGATGACCGCACCAGAGGGTCTCTGGTTATGAAGCAGAGACTTTCCAAATGGATAATTGACGCTATCAAGCTAGCGTACTCTTCCTTGGGCCTTCAATGCCCCATGGGAGTAAGAGCCCACTCAAAAAGAGGCATTGCCACTTCCTGGGCTTGGTCTAGCAGAGTTTCCATTGCAGAAATTTGTGCAGCGGCCTGCTGGGCCTCGCCGTCCACATTTACCAGGTTTTATCATCTGGATGTCCCGGCTTTACAGGCTCGGGTCCTTTCTGCTTAAATGGACTTACTCTGGCAAAACCAGTGCTAAGTCAGGCGTTTGCCTTCTCTGTATGCTTTTGGCCCCCACTGGGTTCCGAGGCTGTGCGATTTTTCTTGGAACGATTATTTAGCGGTGAGCGTGATTTCACCAAGTACAACATCTTCCTGGATCAACATCCTTGTTGATCCTGGAACAACATTCCAATCAGCCAATCAGAATTGAGATATAACTTTTCAGGAAATATCTGTTTTAGTCTTAAAATCAGGGTTAGGTGCTTCTACACCCTTGTTAATCAGCTATCATTTCCCTCTGATTTTAGGAATAAATTATGGGTAAGGTTAGGTTTAGGGGTAGGGATTGGGTTAAGTCTATATTTTTGGACAATAATGTTGATCCAGGATCCTCAAAAGATGTTGATCCAGGAACATGTCTTACTTGGCAAAATCACGGCGACCTTACTTAGCGCCGGGCCGACCTCTGTGAGTTTGGCCCTATCGCTTCCTGTGGGGCTTCCTTGCAATTACTTGGTCCCTCTGGGCCCTTGGTACTCAAGGCAAGTTCAAGCATTGTTCGTTCCTCTAATATAGCACGGCGCGATTGTACTGGTTCCCCAAAGCGTCTTAGCAGACGAAGTACGATTGAAGTATCGATAGGGAACCTACTCGGTTACTAACGTAACCACGGTTCCCTGAGATACGGGAACGAGTACTGCGTTGCTGGCCGTGCTATGTAGCTGCACGACTCGGTCGTCGCTTCAGTCGAAGTAACCTGAGGATCCTATGGCGAAGTGCACGCTTATATAGCCAGATTCCCCGCCCAAATTGGTGGGCTCTGGCGGGCTGTGTCGCCATAGGCTCATGCAGCTCCGCTGCTGAGCCATTAGTTCGTTTTTAATACACTGCACGAACCAATGGCCGAGTTTTCCCAAAGCGTCTTAGCAGACGCAGTACTCGTTCCCGTATCTCAGGGAACCGAGGTTACCTTAGTAACCGAGTATGTTTTGTTTCCTTGTGTTCCCTTGTTTCCTGGTTCTTGCACGTGTATATATTTGTTGATGTTATTGTTGTTATTACTAAAAGTACACTGCATTTAGATCCTGCTCTCTTGCTTTCTGAGTTTGCCCATGTATCTTTCCTTAATTAAATAACCTCATCTCATGGTCTTAAGAGTACAGTGAGTTACATTACCAATTGAGATGTTCACTGGTGTATCGGTTGTAGAGCTGGTGTTAATGCCGTGAACATCTGAAAGTTTGAATGAACAGTAATTAATAAGCACACTTCTTTTAACACCGCTCACACATCTTACACACTCTTTTATTCCTTGTTTTTACCTAGAGACACAAGCACACTAGCACATCTGTTCAATTCTACAGATTCACAAACATTCAGTCAAAACACAATCAACAGAGGAAACATCAGACTACATTACCAGCTGAGCTCGTCTCTGGTGTGACTGTTGTATCAGGGCTGATGATGTTAGTAGCAGCTGAAAAATATAATGACTGATGAATATAAATGAATCAACAATAAAAAAGGACACATGAAAATGTCTGCAATTATCTACAACTGCACATTTCACTCTCTTCTATCCCTTGTTTTTACCTAGAAACACAAACACACTCACACATCTGTTCAATTCTACAGATTCACAAACATTCAGTTAAAACATTAAAAGGAAACATCAGACTACATTACCAGCGTAGCTCATCTCATGTGTGAATATTTCAACAGAGGTGAAGATGTTAGTAACAGCTGAAAAAAAAAAATGACCGATGAATATAAATGAATCAACAAGACAAAGGACACATGAAAATGTCTGCAATTATCTACAACTCACAAATTATCTACAACAAACACAAACACACTCACACATCTGTTCAATTCTACAGATTCACAAACATTCAGTTAAAACGCAATCCAACAGAGGAATCATCAGACTACATTACCAGCTGAATTAATGCAGTACTACAGAAGACGCAAGATGGCAGGGTTGTTCAACCAATCAAATGAAGAGGTATTTCAGCACTGCCCACATGTAGAAATGAAATACTTAAGCCATAAACTGATTTGTAAACCACAAACAAAAAAGGAGATGTCGAGCCAAAATCTAATTTTCCATTTGTTATAAAAAAAAAAAATGTAAAAAAACGAGCCATCTTACTATTTCTGGAACATCAACTGTCAATTTTTGGCACATACAGAAAAATGAAATATTGACCGTTTTTAGCATTTTTCATTTGCCAGATTGAATGGAATAATTGAATGATTGGATGATACACGGAGCCGATTACATATATCCTACATTATTTTTCATAACTTAAATGACCTCAATTCTCTGTCTTTAGAATACAGTGTTTTACAATACCAGTTGAGCTGGTGTTAATGCTAATTGCTAATTTGGCCAGTGGTTATGAAAACATGAATGATCATTTCTTTTAATGGGGTGCGCTGTCGCCCTTTCTATGTAAAAATCAGTCAAATCATGTAATGTGAATGTCGTACAGTCTTGCTCGAGACTAAAAAAACAAGTTGAAAGCGTACCGAGCCGCGGAAGAGACACTGTTTCTCAAGCGCTTTCCGCGAGCGCGATTCGAGATGGAGTGAAACATGGACAAATCCGTTTCATTCATTCGTTCATAACCACTCATGAAGTCAACTCCCAATACAAAATATCCTTCCATAGAGTACCCTGCCCGTCGAAAAATTACGCTAAAGGGGGTTCCTGAGCATTACAAAATGACGCCAAGGGGTCTTCTTCTTTCGTTTTTTGGTGGATCGCACCAATTCTCATGCATTACTATTTCCTATTTCCCACTGTTGTTGCCAACTTTGAACTATTTGCTTTTTAATGATTGCTTTCATTTCATATCTACTCTATGATACTTCCATTTCTATACTGGTGTCCAGGACAGCTTGTTTCACCAATTTATCTGCTGCTTCATTCTCTTTCACTCCCACATGAACATATTAAAACCTTCTTTAAACCTGCTTTGCTTATACATCTTAAAGCCATCACTACTGCAATTAACTCTCCTGAAAAAAAATTATAACTTATTTGAAATCCTCATCTTTCTGCAAATTTGCAATTTTGTAATGACAAATAACTATACCTATTTGTTCATTGTGTGGATTTTTTGATGCATCTGAACAGACTTGTGTTAAATGTCCATACTCTGTCCCCAAATATTCCCTTACCCAGACTTCCTTAAATTCACTCATACCTTCTTTCTGTCTAGAATCTAACATTTTTAGATCAACTATAGGTTGAGGCAAAATCCACAAAGGAACTGCTGATAAAGTAACTCTTCAAACAATACTTAAACCTTTAACATCTAATCCTTCTACTAAATCTACAACAATCCATCCAAAACTATTACATTCCTCTTTTCCATGCTCCCAACATTTCTCTAGTACTCGTATTGTGGGATGTGAATTATCCTGTGCCATTAGATTTGCCAAATATACTGCAGTTAACGGTTGTCTTCTTAAATTGAGAGGAATTTCACCCACTTCTACTTAATAAAAAATAACGACTGATGAATATCAATTAATAAACAGAGGAAACATCCGACTACATTACCAGCTGAGGTCATCTCTGGTGTGACTGTTGTATTGGTGCTGCTGATGTTAGTACCAGCTGAAAAAATAATGACAGATGAATACCAATGAATCCACAAAAATAAATAAATAAATAAATAATTTAATTAATTAATTAATTAATTAATTATAATGTGTACAATACTCAAATAATACTGTGTACAAATGGTACACTTAAATATATTTACCAGAAAAGTATGTGAGATAACAACAACTTCACCTGACCAAGCCTGACACGTGAAAACTGCACTGAAAATGCTACATATAATAATGCCCTAGCATACTGCTTGGGCACCAAGTAATTTAGACTAAATTAAAAAGCCAGTTCCAGTACTTCATGCCTGAACCCCATGCAGTAGACTAGCTTGATAAATGTAGATCAAAACAATATGAATATATTTGAGTGCTTCCAATAAAAATGCTATATACATGTAACACATGAAAAATTACGAAAAATCTAGTTAAATTTTTGTTCGAATGAATAGAAGGTACACGGACCTGGGAGTAAGAGTAATAACATATCAAAAGAAAATAAACAACAAAACTCTTTACAGTTCTCATCACATTACATTTATTAATTTACTTTAGTACGATGACACCATAAACTAAAGAAACTTTTAATATGAGGGTAAATAGAGGGTAATGCCTTAAAAATATTACACATTCAAATACACATTCAAATAATTAACATGGTCAGAATGTGCGTGAAGAGACACACGCCAAATTGCCACCTTAACAAGGTCAAAATATGCGTGTCTGCAAGTGCTACAGAAACACGGTCAAAATAGCCACCTTAACACGGCCAAAATGTATGTGTGGAATTTTCATGCATTCTGTTTAAAGAGTTTTGGCCCCGTCTGCCTTCCATATTTTCGACGTGCAGGGTGCTTTAAATAGGGAGCCTTTGGCGTCAATATGCAGACACAAAGGGCATGGGAATTTTATCGTCATGATTAAATTATATAATAATTTTGGCACAACTGCATATATGTTTGGCTGTGATTTTTCTATTTAAACATTCACAACAATTGTATTTACATTACACTATTAACACATTTTTGAGCATGTAACCCTACTCATAAACCTATCCACTTGTCAATATAAAATACAGAATTTAAAAGGTAGATACAACTACAGTTGTCAGACCCAAGGACTGCTTGTTGTGTTTTCTTCCCCCATGTGCTCTGTTTGACTTAGTTTCTGTCTTCATCTGATTGTATCATTTGGTTCAGGTGTGTTTCGTTAATTATCCTCATTTGCCAATGTATTTAGTTCTAGTCTGTTTCTGTGTTCCCTCGTCCAGTGTTAAAGTTAACGTTGTGTATGTGCGTGTGATTCCTGCCTGCCTTTTGTGGATACGCTCTGTATGGGTAATTAAAGACTGTTTACATTATTCTTCTTCTTTGTGCCATGTTTCGGTGTCCCGAAACACCAGGGGGCCCCCTTGCTCTCAAAGATGATTTAATTTTAGTTTCGTTTTTGAATTTGGCCAGCGGTTATGAAAACATGAATGATCATTTCTTTTAATGCGGTGCGCTGTCACCCTTTCTACATAAAAATCAGTCAAATCATGTAATGAGAATGTCGTACAGTCTTGCTCGAGACTAAAAAAACGAGTTGAAAGCGTACCGAGCCGCGGAAGAGACACTGTTTCTCAAGCTCTTTCCGCAAGCGCGATTTGAGATGGATCTGAACAGACTTGTGTTAAATGTCCACTCTGTCCACAAATATTCCCTTACCCAGATTTCCTTAAATTCACTCATACCTTCTTTCTGTCTAGATTCTAGTATTTTTAGATCAACTATAGGTTGAGTCAAAATCCACAAAGGAACTGCTGATAAAGTAACTCTTCAAACAATACTTAAACCTTTAACATCTAATCCTTCTACTAAATCTACAACAATCCATCCAAAACTATTACATTCCTCTTTTCCATGCTCCCAACATTTCTCTAGTACTCGTATTGTGGGATGTGAATTATCCTGTGCCATTAGATTTGCCAAATATACTGCAGTTAACGGTTGTCTTCTTAAATTGAGAGGAATTTCACCCACTTCTACTTAATAAAAAATAACGACTGATGAATATCAATTAATAAACAGAGGAAGAAGACTACATTACCAGCTGAAGTCATCTCTGGTGTGACTGTTGTATTAGTGCTGCTGATGTTAGTACCAGCTGAAAAAATAATAACAGATGAATACCAATGAATCCACAAAAATAAATAAATAATGTATACAATACTCAAATAATACTGCGTACAAAGGGTACACTTAAATATATTTACCAGAAAAGTATGTGAGCCTGACACGTGAAAACTGCACTGAAAATGCTACATCTAATAATGCCCTAGCAAATCTACTGCTTGGGCACGAAGTAATTTAGACAAAATTAAAAAGCCATTTCCAGTACTTCATGCCTGAACCCCAAAATGTAGATCAAAACAATATGAATATATTTGAGTGCTTCCAATAAAAATGCTATATAGCATGAATGGGTGTATAAACCTGCTCGGTGGTTCAAAACATGAATTCCAACATTACATTTAAATCATTAAATCCCTGTACCCTGTACCCTGTACATTGTGGCTCATATGTAAAATTTTTGTAATCTATATGACTTTTAAGCCCATCCCAGAGCATTGGAGAAGATAATGAGAACATATCATTTCAGTCTGTTTCTCACATAAAGGACACATGGCTTGGAAGACAGCTGTATAGCCTATATGTCATATGGATTACTCTTAGGATACTTTTATGATTTTGTAGCTTGATGGCTTCACACTAGGCTACTTACATAGAATAACAGAGATGATAGTCAGTGCTCTTATAAAACCTGAAATATGAAGAAAAAGGAAATCAATGAAAATCATAATCTTATGACAATTAACAACTTCAAGAAAAAAAATCAGTTTTGAGTTAACTGCATTCATCATCTGACTTCAGTTCGTCTTATAAAGGTTGAGTTGAAGGTTGGAGTTTGTTGGGGCAGTGTGAACTAGTCTTTACTAATCATGACAAAAAAACAAAACAAATACTCACTTTTATGAAGAGAGGAAACCATTGTCAGTGTTGACAGTCCGATGTATTTCTCTGTATCCAAAAGCCAGTTCAGAGGATGAGCTTCCTTTACTGTTTAGAAGGAAAAAGCAAATTAGTTTGGCACTGATGCATAACTTCTTTTGGTTTCCTCTTTGTGTCAAACACACATGGAAAATTCCACTGAATTTATTCATTTACATGTTACAAGAGTTATAAGCGAGGAGAGATGTAAACATTTCTATTTTAAAAAGAATGAAAAGATAGAACTCCTCACATTCAAATGCCTTTGTTTCCAGCATATTTTTTAAAATGTGTAAATTTTGTATTAACATATAAAGTTTAACAACTGAGACATAAACTGAACAAGTTTCAGAGACATTTGATTAGCAGAAATGAAAAAGTCCCTAAACAAAAGGGAGTATCAATTACAAAAGTTGCAGTGAGTATCTTGTGTGTCAGGAGCTGCTTTAAGTAATATAGTACATCCTCATGGACTGCTGCAAATTTGCTGTGAGATGTTACTCTACTCTTTCACCAAGTCACTTGCATGTTCTTGAATTTGTCTGGGGGTAAATATGGTCACAAGTGGTCTAGCATTACAAGGATGATTAGCTGTCCTTCCTGTCTCCCTGAAGCACTGTCTTAGGTGTCTTACATTACAGACATTAATGACTGTTCCATGTGCAAAAATTGTTTATGGTTCATTGAAAAGCATGAAAAACAATGTTTAAATCCTTTCCAATAACGATGTGTAAAAGTTATTTGGATATTACAAAATTACTTTTAAAATACAGTACTTTTTTGTTTATATACATATAAATACATGTATTTGTTTATAGACATATGGCATACATCAAAATACACACAAAGCATCAACATATGCTGTAGTTTGTTTAATTTACAGAGACTGATGAGGATCATTAGTAGAAAGAAGATCTTACCTGATGTGAGCTGACACACAATGATCCTCACAGACACTGATCAAGTGACAGATTAACTAAGATAACAATGCGTGTGTTTAGATGTTCACAGAGATGTTATTTGTTCATCATCCTGATAAGGAAATGTGTGAAGTCCACAAATTCAAATTCATACACAAATGTATATATAACAATAGCTCACAGGTCCAGTTCCTCTGTAAAGTGTATTTTTAAAATCCTTCCACACAATGCCTTATGTTTCATTTCCTGTCAGGATTTTATCATTTTTTTAACCAAATGGGCCCTATTTTAACGATCTAAGCGCATAGTCTAAAGCGCACGGATCAGGTGCACTCAGGGCGTGTCCAAATCCACTTTTGCTAGTTAAACGATGGGAAAAACGGTCGGCGCCCAGCTCATGGTCTAAAAGGGTTGTCCCTATTCTCTTAATGAGTAATGGGTGTGTTTTGGGCATAACGTGCAATAAACCAATCAGAGACTCATCTCCCATTCCCTTTAAGAGCCAGTTGCGCTCATACCATGGCGGATTTGCTTTTTACATGGCGGAATTTGCAACCGCAAAGACATGCGCGAGCAAATAGGTAGCCTAATTCTGATACATGCAATGACTATCCATTATAACATGTAGGCATTTTTATATTTATGTAGCCTACACAATAATAATCTTTTACATTGCAATCCTTTAATTTTTAATATTTGGCATGTTTGTGTGCTGCTTTGGACCCGCCTATACTTAAGCGCTCTTTAAATAACAAAAAAACTACTGCGCCATTGACTTTAGACCAGGTTTTAGTTGGTCAATGGCGCAGTCTATTTTAGTTGCCTCAAAATAGCAACGTGCCAGCAATGCGCCTGAATCTTTTCTTTTTTTCTGATAGTGTAAGCAATGTTTAAATCTTCAGAGATTTAATGTCTTTTATCTTTAGCTGAATTCATCTAAGGCTGTAGCTTAAGTCAGTTGTAGTTCTTGAGTTTCTGTTTTTCTCTTTTTTTTCTGTTCTCTTCTTTCCTTCAGTGATTTTACTTGTTATCAAGCTTAGACAAGCTGAGAGGACTCTATAAATAATATATGAAGACTTTGTGGCTCTGAAAAGGTCCAATGTGGTTTAGTTCTTTGCTCTTGGCTGACATGTGGCATTGCTATGGCCTGCTTTTGGCCCAGATCTGGCAAATAGGAGCAGTCCACACAAGTGCCATCATTCCATGCTACATGTGGGCCAGATCATCATTCCACATGTGCCAGATGTGGGCCGGATCTGGGTGGACACTATGTTGCTATCTGGGGAAGCATCCGGATTTGATTAGGTTTTAAATGCAGAGTCAATGCATTTCTCTGGGTAAATGTATTTCACTTTAATGCGTTCTCATATCTGCAATGCTTAGTTGCTGTATCCTCACAGCAGCCACTGTACACAGACCCCTTGCTGCTGCTGCTGTATAAACACAAGTGCATAATCACTACTGCTTAAATGCTTAGTAATTCACTCCTGCATCAAATACAGGACTGTTAAACATGAGGCATGACCAGGTTTGGCTTGACTAATGCCAAAGGTTTAATTTCAAGCAAGAATATAGCAATATAGCATATGCTTCAATATAGCAAGCATGTGTTATGAGGAAGTGATAAACACCACTGTGTAGGGACATGTAAGACGGTAATGTTGCATGTTTAGGTAGACTTATAATCTGGTGTTTAATTAAAGTAATGTGTTTGTTACATTAATAAGATATAAAGAGGCTGGTCACTTTAAGAGTTTGGAATGAGCAATGACGTTGACACTAATGTTTTCACGCAGTTCAGTGATGTGAGTGTTCAGTTTATGCAGTTCAGTAAAGTTGACGAGAACAATAAAAAGTTAAATAAGTTCAAGTACGAGTCCTCTTTACAGGATGGCTGAAGAATTCCCCACGCTGTCGTTATCTCCCCCAAACCCCTTTTTGCCCCATCCTGGCGAGCCTACCGTCCCATGGGAGCAGTGGAAAACATTGTTTGAAACTTACCTGTTAGCAATGGGCCTCGATGGCGTCCCGACGAAGCGGAAAATGGCCATACTCCTCCACTGTCTTGGTGCCGAAGGACAGCGTGTTTTTCGCACAATCGGAGATGTGGACGATTACACCTCTGCGATTACACTGCTAGATCGACACTTTGAAAAAAAACAGTCTCCTGCTAAAACGGCTGCAGTTCCGGCAGCGCAGACAGCACGCTAGTGAGTCGATTGCTCAATATGTCGCTGACTTGAGAGGGCTGGCAAAACCGTGCTGTTTTGGTGCTTTATCAGTTGAGATGATACGAGATCAGTTAATTGAGAAAACAAACAATACACTCGTTTGGGAGCGGCTGTTATTGGAAGATGATGATCTCACTTTAGAGAAAGCTGTAGTTCTGGCCTCTCAAATTCAGTCTGCTGCACAGTGCGCTGCTAAATTAAATACTGCACATGAATCAAGTGTAAGCAGTGGGGACTTGATACAAGAATGCACACAAGTTCACGGGGCAGAGGCAGACGTATCTTCAAGTGCAGCCATACAATATGCATGCCCTCGAGTTCAGTGACGATGTGGAAATTGTGGTTCCACTAGACCCTCATCACGTGCCTCTGACTGCCCTGCACGGGGACAAACATGTCGACGCTGTCAAAAGCTGAACCACTTTGCAAAATGATGTCGTCTGCTCCAGTTCATGCTCCTACACAACGAAACCCACGTGCTAACGCTACAACCCCTGCCATTATTCATTCAATAAACACCAATTCAGCAGGTTTTTCTACATGCGCTGTTAATATAGCGGATTCTTGTATTCCTCTGCTCCTGGACACATGGGCTAAAGTCTCTCTACTCAATTTGGCCACTTATGAATGTTTCCTGCCACACTTGCCCCTTCAGCCGCCTTCTCTGAATCTGTTTGGATGTGGAAGTTCTGTAATTGATGTTATCGGTTTTATATATGCGCCTGTCCAGTATGGCAAAAAGGCCCTACCCAACTTCCCATTTCACATTACACGCCATGGCAGCAATATCCTTGGATTGGACCGGTTTATGAGTTTGGACTTTTCTCTGCTGGACAATAAGGGGGCTCAAATTCTGACTGTCAGCTGTCCCTGGCAACAAGAATGGCCAATGCTGTTTGAAGGCCTTGGGTGCTTAGCTGCGTTCACTCACCAGCCTCTCTTGGATCCCACAGTTAAACCAGTCATTCAGCCACTTCGCAGCATTCCGCTGGCATTGCGTGAGGAAGTCACAGCAGAACTTGTCAAACTGCAAGCAAAGGGCATCATTGAACCTGTTGACACCTCCCCATGGGTGTCTAATTTGGCGGACGAGCTGCGCAAAACCATGTTCATATTCGCACGATTTTTTGCGCAACTCGTCAGTGAACAACGGCTCTGTGTAGTTAATGCTGCTCAATGTGAAAGCACGCACGTGATGGAGATTTACCGCTGATTACAGAACCGGCTTTCTGACAAGATGCGCGTTAAATATCGCATGCGATTTATCGTGCAGCCCTAGTTTCCTTGTAGTAGTTTATTATCTACATTCGAAGTGGCTAGAGGTTACATCTGTGGGCTCTGTCACGTCCAGCTCCATCATTGACTTTCTGGAGTTGCTCTTTGCTCGCTGGCGCCTGCCAAGGACCTTGACGACAGACAATGGCCCTTAACTAGTGTCTGCTGAGTTTACCAGCTACATCCAAAGCAAAGGCATCAAACACATATGAACAGCTTACTATCACCCACAGTCAAATGGGGGGGCGTAGAGAGATTCAATCAGTCGCTTAAAAATGGTCTGAGAGCCCACTTAGCACAAGGCTGCTCTTTCAATGAGGCCTTGTCTCAGACTCTTCTACACTACAGAGCTGCACAGCATGCTACCACTGGGGTGTCACCGGCAAAACTGATGCTGGGGCGAGAGCTGGAGTTACCCCTGCATAGACTTTGCCCTCCTACTTCTCATGGTGGAAACCTTGTGGTGAAAGCCAGGGTATGTGAACAAGAGCTCAAAGCACTGGGCAGATTCGATGCAAAGAAAAAGGCCCGGATTCCCAGAATCTCCCCACTGGACTGGGTGCGGGTTCAGCGACCACACCGGAAAAATAAGCTCAACACTTTCTGGTCGCAGCCCCAGCAGGTGCAAAAGCAGTTAAGTCCAGTTACATTCCAGCTATCGGATGGTTCCCGTTGGCATGCCAGTCGACTTAGGAAAGTACTGTGCCCTTCTGCTGCAGATCACACCCGAGATGCTGTGCTCCCTTGCTCTCTGCTCAGTTCTTCATGCCCTCTGCCCCCAGCACAGCATCCAGTGACTCCGCAAGCAACATCCCTACCACCATTTGCAGCATCGCAAGGCAGGCCTACCAGATCGCACACTCGGCCTGCTTGCTTTCAGGACTACTTAACGTCCTTTCACACTTAGTTCACCGGGAGGTAAGGGGAAATGTTGCATGTTTAGGTAGACTTATAATCTGGTGTTTAATTAAAGTAATGTGTTTGCTACATTAATCAGTCCCTCCAGGATTTC